TTCTCCAGGAGAGATGGAGTCGGGAGGGCCCACCTTCGTCACTGGGGAAATCGATGTGCTTAACATCGTTCGAGCCTTGGACCATCGGATCCCGCTTCCGATCGGTCATCTGCTTTCGATCTCGGAATAAGCTAATGAGCGAATGTAACAACACTGCAAGGCGAACCGAAAACGATTCGCGCTCACCCGAATACCGAACGTAAAGTCTAAAAACCCCTCGCCCGAGGAAAACCCGGCTGGCACGTCGGATCCAATTCGGGTAGGGTTAATCAAGAAAGACGATCATTTCCTACGGATTAGACCCATCCCGTGGAAATCCGCAGAATGTGATATTGAAATTTGGGGAATTCCTTACAATGCAATTATAGATTCGGGAGCGGCTGTGTTGGCTATTTCACTAAGACTGGTCGAAAGGGCAGGTAGGAAAAACGATCTGATCATGCTTTCCGAGAAAGTCAACTCGTTTCGGCTGACGAAGAAAAGATTAAAATAGTAGGAAGGATGACCAATGTCGCTTTTTGATTAGGAAAGATGCATGCACTGGGAGATGTTGTCGTATTAGATGTGAATACCTACGACGTTCTTTTCGGACTTCCTGCTCTTGTGGCATTACGAGCAAACCTGGATTTTGAACGACGATCGATCGTCCTTCGAAATACAGGAGGAAAGCCCTATGCTGTGCCTATGAGGCTAACCCTTCGTACCACCATCAACGCAGTCCCACGGGTTTCGCCGATGATGGCAGGGACTCTCTGCATGATCTACTGGGAAGAATCTGCAGATGGAAAGTCATCGACAAATGATGCGGACAGCAGTAATGAGGACGATCCGGAAATCTCGAAGCTAGCACGACAGCGTGTTTACTACCCGCCACCCAGAACGATAGCAAGAACGATGCATCTGACCTGTAGGAACGTTCAGAGGACCAAGGCGATGATCTTGGGTGAACCCCTCGTGCAGATTTCGAGGATGGTCGATTCTTCGAAACCCCCTCAAACCCTATACGAAGGAATCACCCCGCTTCTCTCGCGATACAGCGACAAAAAGCATTACTGCGACATTACGGATCTACCAAGGTCCCTCTTGACACCTGCAAAAGAAGTGTGCCTGTTGCGCCTGGGGGAAGAAGCCAATTCTTTGGAACCCCGTGGGCGTCTTGAAGCTGACTCAGATGAACTTGAAGTAAAAATCACAACCAAAACCGTACCATGGCAGGATGTCTGTGACGGAATCACCCCAGAAGGACACGTGGCCATTCGGGAAGAAGACGCCCAGATGATGGCCACGGTGTTCTCCTGGCGATCAGACCATTCCTTCATTGCTGCAACCCCGCCCGACGTGGCGAACCCCACACGATGATAGACGTACGGATCTGGGACCAACTCTTTGAGTTACACGTGCCACAGTACGTACACGATGAGATTCATCGGTTGATTGCGGACATCTTGACGGAGTATCGAGAAGCGATTAGCGTAACAGACACTGACATTGGCCTATCGCTAGTCATTCAACACGAAATACTGACGGGGAATCACTCCCCGATCCACTGCAAGCCTATCAATACTCTCTGATAGAGCGCAAAAAGACCCTCAAACGAATTCGGAAATTCAAAGCCAGCGGATGGATAGAACCCGCCACTGGACCATGGTCTTTTCCCGTGGTATTAGTACCGAAGAAAAACGGATCAATTCGCATATGCATCGATTATCGCAAGTTGAATGAAATCACGATTAAAGATGTGTATCCCCTCCCCCGGATTGATGATTTGTTGGATGCGACTGGTTGCGCCAATTATTTTAGCAAATTTGATATTCGGCATGGCTTCCATCATATTCTGGTGAAGGAGGAAGATCGCCCGAAGACGGCTTTTGTACTGTTTGAAGGCACGTGGCAGTGGGTTCGGTGTCCGATGGGGATTTGCAACGCGCCTGCCACGTTTCAGCGAGCAATGAATATGACATTCCAGAACTTCGGAGACCTATCACGGGCATGCACAACACATTGAGTGGACATTGGGAGCGCTGAGAGACGCTAGATTCAAGATTGCACTCGAAAAGAGCGAATTTTTTCTTTCGAAAACTTCGTTCTTGGGCTATGTCGTGACATGTGGAGAACTGCGGCCAGATTCAAGAAAGGTTGCGGCGGTAGGAGAAGCCCCAGTTCTCACGTCACTGACGCAGGTGCGAGCGTTCTTGGGGTTGGCGTTGTACTATCGTCGGTTCATCAAGGGCTTCGCCGCGATTGCGCGACCGTTAACGAACCTGCTACGGAAGGACCAGCCTCTCAGCTGGGACGGAGTGCCAACAGGCTTTCGCAACCCTCAAGGACGCTCTAGGGACGACCCCTATTTTGATTCGGCCGGACCCCTCAAAACAGTTCATTCTCATCACGGACAGGCAACCAGAAGCTATCTCCGCTATTCTAGCGCAGAAGGGGAACGATGGTCGTGAACACGTTATCGAATACGCGTCACGCACGGTACCGGACGAGCGAAGGAATGACTCAGCACCTCAAGGCGAATGCTCTGCAGTAGTCTGGGGAATCCAGCACTTCCATCCGTATCTCTACGGACAGAAGTTTCGCCTCGTAACAGATCACGAACCCTTGGTGGCGCTGAAGAAACTCACCAATTACACGGGCATGATTGGCCGTTGGGCGGTGGGACTACAAAAATACGACTTCGATATCGTCCATCGAAAGACAGAGCGACATGGCAACGCGGACGGACTGACACGTCTGCACCGACCTGCCAAGGTACCAAAGGGCGAGGAAATCACACCGTGGAAAGAGACAGACTTGACCAACGAGCCTACGTACGGACAAGTTGCAGTTCTCCCACGTGGCAAGAAGTAAAACGGTGGCAATGGGTGATGGAGGTAACCCCACTACCCCTCTCTCTCCCCTTTCCTCTTCGTCTCTTTTCTCCCTGCCTGACAAATTTTGCTATTTTTGCGAAGCTATCTCCCGCGTGTACTCGGTCTCCATGCGCCCTAACGGGGAAGGGTATGCGGACTGGATAGATTGTCAACAGTATGTCGCACGAGCCAATGGCTCGTGCATCCAATACAAAAACGATAGTAAACCGTGATTGTGCCCCTTGTGTCGGACTGACAAGATTCCGACCGAGGCTCGCTTTTTGGATGCCACGTCAGAAGGGTTGGAAAAGACCCAGAGGTTTAGAAGGGCCGAAGTATGGACTGATATTGCCTTGATTGCCACCCTGGTTGGCAACCCCCTTCAGGATTTCACCAAGGAAGATCGGAGGAGGGCCAACGAGAGGGCTCGGGATCACAGATGGATAGAGGGCAGATTGGAAAAACGGAAAACAGACGGCAGTGGGATTTGGATGGTTGTACCGCATCCGTTCATGAGGTATGACTGGGTTAAGATGGCACATGAAGAAACTGCGGCTCATTTCGCCGTACGGATTACAGAGTCGGCTATCGACAAAAATGAGTGGTACTGGTCCAATATCCGCGACGATGTGAAATATATCATCGCCAACTATCAAGTCTGCGCCGCTGATAAGGCGCCGATTCAGCCTCCAAGATCTATAGTGCCAACGGTAGTTGAACGGCCATTTCAAAGAGTCAGCATGGACACTACCGACATAGTGGTGCCCCCTGGTCCTAATAGATGTGAGTATTCAGTCCTATTGGTATTTTTCGACCACTTTTCGAAATGGATCGAGGCCTACCCTTGTCGCACGCGACAAGCCGCCGAAATCATGAGATACGTCAACCGTTTTCTCGGGATGCACCAGGATACGGAAGAGATCCTGACCGATAACGGGGCTGAATTTAGGGGAGAGGTACTGAGGAATCTGGTCATACATGGTGTCGCCATACGGAACACTGCACCCCACATGTCACAGTCCAATGGGCTGGTAGAAAACGCGAACAGGGTGATAAAGACAGCGTTGCGACGGAATATCGCGGCACGGGATCTGAGGCCCTGGCCCGATATCGTCGACGACATCCTGGCGGTCCATCGTGGTACACCTCATGAATCGACGGGGCTAAGCCCCTTCCAATTAAGGACCAATAGCGATGCTTGCGTTTCGATACCAAGCCTACCGGATGAATCCACACTGAACCGACGACCCACCAGGGCCACGGCTCGAGACAAGGCCAAACGACACTTGGAACTAATGGAATAGTCCCTGCCCAGGCTAGCCCGAAAACGACAAAGAATGACCGAATTGGCCCAGGGACGACAGGTCCGAAGCTACGAGGCCCGGAATGGGAATGCAAGACCACGACCCCAATACAAATTAGGGGACATCGTGCAGGTGAGGAAATGTGCTCGCCGGGGTAAACTAGCGCCACGATTCTTCGGGCGATTTCGCGTGATCGAACTCAGACCGAACGGCGTGAACACCGTGCGACTTGCGCCTGAGGTCTCCGGCAGCCGATCGGCCCGCCCGATCATCCGCCACGTGTCCTACCTCCGTCCCCTTCCTCCTTCTCCATCTTCGCACTCATCCGATTCCTCCTCCAATGCGGAAGAAGGCGACGACTACCTCTCTCCTATCTCTCTGTCTCCTTCTCTCTCTATTACCCGTCACCATCGCCATGAGCTTTGCAACGGAGCAAGTAATCGGCGCGCGGCTTCTTACTCCGTGGGGGCGAATCAGCGTCATACGGCAGGTGCAGAGGCCCCATCTCTACTCTGATCTCCTCCGGTTTGCAACTTTCTTCAGTACGTCGGCGATCTACGCGGAGGCAGAGTTCCGATTCACGGAAGAGGCAAACGCGCGTTCTGGCCGAGATCTCGGCCTTTCGACGGCTATCCCCTCCCGGGATTAGCCATATCGCCGTCGTCGTCGTCTTTACAGGAGATATCACAGCGATTCCATCGGAGATTCACTCTGACATCTATCGGACGTTGCGCACCTGGGCTGGAGAAGTGCGGACAGCGTGGACCGATCTCCTGGCTCGACGAGGGGACATCGTCGTGCCGGCCCATGACACGGACCTCCAGCTTCGCTCGTCTCGAAGCTCGCCAGCGATCGTGCTCCCGGAGCTTCGTCCCTTCGCGCCGCCCCAATGAGTCATCATCGTGTCTCCTACTTCGGCCTCCCCTCCTGCACCCTTTGGCAGTCTGCGCGGGCTCCCACTCTCTCCTACCGTGTTAAGGAGAACAGTGCGCCACTATTGAGCGAGGAGAAGTGGGACGCGTGGTGGGAGGACTATGTCGAGCTTGCTTTCTGCCTATTGGAGATAGAGTTCCGCTGGTCAGAAGCGGCCCCGTTCGGACAAGGACCGCAGCACCCAGAAGACAGCGTGGAGTCTTTTATCATCCAAGCCTGGAGAACGGTGGAGCAGGGCGATCTGCTGGGAATTGTGTTCGGGAAGGTGGAGGAAGGTAATCTCACCTTGATCACGGATGAATTGCTGGTGTTTTTGACTCAGCTGGTGGACGATCTGCCCCAGAACATTTTGTCGGGCAGTGACAAGCAGCCTGGCACCCACGTGCTGTCTCGAACACTCGAGCCGCACCTTGTGTGGTCCATGTGTACGGAGATTGACGAGGACAACTGTCTCTATCCCTCCCAGGCGCTCTACTTGGAGATCGACGTTACCGATCTCACGTTTTGGGATCCGATTGCGAGGCAAAACGCGGCGCAGGATGAGGAGATAGGGGGAGCAGACGAAGAGGAGGAAGAAGAAAAGCCATCGAGCGAAGAACGAGATGATCCAGACTACGTACCGAAAAGCGAAGCTGGGATAGCTGAAGAATCGAGCCAACCGCGGGAAAAGAACGAAGAGGAGGAAGAGGTGGAACCAGACGAGGAGGAAGAAGAAGGAAACGAGCAAGCGGAGTCGGAGTACGAAGGATTCGAGGCTGAGGTACATGACGCGGATCGAGAACGAGCGCAAGAGCAAAGGAAACGAAAGCGCTAGGGGACCGCGGAGGGAAAACCGACCCCCGACAAATGTTTCCCCTGTCAATCCGTCGATCGGGGACCCGTGGCGTGATCTGGAGCCGCCAGAAGAAGAAGACGATGGAGCCGCAGCAGAGGGCTCATGAAGCAGAAGAAGAAGTGAATCGCCAGCTCCCTCCGGCTCCCCATCCCGATCCTCCATTCGTCTACATCAAGATCTCGGCGTTCGGGCTTCGTCCCCGGTCGTTCTCTCGCCGAGCTTACCCGTCTTCCCGATAGACCCCGTTCCCCGATGGTTGGTGTCCTTTTCCCCATCACCTCTTCTACCATCTCTACGCTACCCGCCTTCTAGTCTCCGTTTATCAACATGCCACCACCCGCTTTGTGGTTGATTCCTTTCTCCTTCACGTACTCCTGTTTAGCGCAGATTGGCGGGAATATAACCACGTAGAGATATACTTTATTATATCCGGAACTATTCCCGCCTACGAAAACTACGAAGATTTTCGCTCCGGCCTGCGACGGACCCTCTCTACCATCTACCCCGACTACATCGCCGCCTTCCGCCATCTTCATGAGGTTCCTCGCTTCCCCCGCATCCATCGCTCCTTCCACTATGCTACCCTTCCTGAATTTGCCTCTCTCGCCATCAACCGATTCATGCCCCCTCTCCCCCTGAACCATCCGCCACCTCCACCCTCGATGATTCGACTGCCATTTCTCGGGAACGTCTAGGGTCTAGGGTCTACCCTCTTGTTGCACTGATGCATGGCTAATGGACACGTGTCATAACAACGGCACGTGTAATCCTCCTTCTTGGAATGTCGAAAGCCCACCCTGAGGAATTAGTAGAAGAGCAGTGTTGCCACGTTGAATGACGTCCACACTCAATTGAACGATAAGTGGCATAGAGAGAGATGCTCCGCGTGTCGATCGATTAGAGAAATCGACACGCGTCAACAAGCAAGCCGGAGCTTGCTAATATTGGAACCCCCTGGGCGTCACATATGTGACGAACCACTTTCTGTAACGCGCGACTTTCTGCGCAGTTGCAATGAGGGGTCCTAAGTTGGGAAGGTTGGGCCAATTGCGGGAGATCGGGATCGGTAGGAAATTGCATCAGTGTCCTTGCTTTTTCGTCTTTCCCGTCGCTTCTTTTCGAATGGCTGGGTTTGGAGCTTGGTGTGTCCTGGGATGGCGGGTTGATTGATTGGTCGGCTGGATGGCTGGCGCACCACCGCGCGCGCGATTAATAAATGTTGGTGTCATTTCTTTTATTTTGGTTTCGATCTTTTGGACGCGGACATCGCGCGGGAATTTGCTTCGTTCTTTTTGAATTTTCTTTTGAGTCTTTTTCGAATTTTGTCGAGCCCCGATGGCTCTCGGAATTTCGGACTTTCCCTCTGAAGTTTGTGCTTTTTGCTTCTTCGCATTAGATAGGAATTTAGGAATTCAGTAACTAGGATTTTTCTTGCCGCGTGACGCCTTTTGTCTACGCGCCTCTTCATGCAGCTGCAACGGTACTCTGATTAGTAGGCGCCTTTAATCGTGTGTGTAACTGTAATTTTGGGCGGGCGTCATTGTAACTGTATCTTTCTTCTTGCACTTCGTTTTTCCCGTCCTCCTTCTATTTCTTTTGCCTCGCTTTTGGTAGTCGCAGTCAGCATGATCGGATCGATGCGTGGAGAGCGGCTACGTCCCCCACGCCGCCGTCGCCGCGATCAGACCATGCAGACGTAGGCAATTTCCTCCTTCTTCCCTTCTTCTAAGTCCTTGTAATTCCGTGTTCTTTGCGCATGCATGCACGCTATAAATTCCGGCTGCGCGATTAGTTACCTCTCTTAACCAGCTGTTGGAAGCTCGGGGTTGCGCGATCAGGAAGGGTCAACACACGAGCGAAGTAAGAGGTGAGTAGAGCAGGAGTCGGGCGACCCGACGAGCTGGTGCCAAATGCACGGGGTTGACGCGGACCACGACTGACGGTGGGCGCGGGCGAACCTGACGGGTGCGGGAGGACTAAGCGGGGTGATGGCTTCGTGGGTTGGTGCGCGATGACGAACTGTCCGCATCGGAGAAGAAGAGAGAGAGAAAGAGAGAGTTGAGGTTGAGGGATGAGGAGTTGTTATTTCTTTTGTCTCTTCTTCCCCCTTTCTCGTGTATATAAGTTTTGAATACGGCCCCGGGCGATCCGCCCGTTTTTGTTTTCCTTTCTGTTTTTCAAAACCCGGACTTGGATTTTTGTGCTCACACTTGTTTTTGCGATTCCCATGGATATCGAGTTCCGGTTGTTTTTTATCTCGGTCCTCGCCTTTGAGGCCTCGTGTGTATGATTACTGCGGATATGAATGTATGGAGGCTATACTTGCTTGTTTGCCTTTTGCGGGAAATCTCTTGTCTTTTCTTTTGTCCGTTGTAGTCTATGCAACCGTGCATAAACTAGGAATTTTGCGCAAGTGATGATTCTGCCCGAGTGCTTGCTTGTCCTTGGATCGAGCTGTTTTGTGATCATTGCATCTTGCATAACTCAGAAYATCACRAAGTGATTAGGCGGTCGGATACCGGACTCGGTAAACGCCGCRCGAGGACACKTGTAAAACGCGATCTGAGTTGCGCACTTACACGTATCCTCGGGCGTCGACTCATCGGGGCCCTCAATCGGTCCGATTGAGAGTGGCCATCTTGAARTCCRCAACGGCGCAATCGTCCKGCACGAGCACKYGTAAGTCCGAYGCCATTCGCGCGGCCTGCACGTGCTCGCACACGGTGACCKCGATCRCCGCGGACCCATCCTTAGGTAGCCCATAACACCRCAATGACACGATGACGCGATCCTGGAATTCTGACTCATCCTACGACCCGGATTATTTCACCTCTTGGATAAACGAGATCCTAAGGCAGCGATATCCCTGCCACACCGAGAATCGATTATGTCCTCCGGAATTCCACTGCGCCACCTCTAGCGACCCCCGGTGCTCTGATTTCCCTTCTCCCGACCATACCTACTANCACACCGAGAATCGATTATGTCCTCCGGAATTCCACTGCGCCACCTCTAGCGACCCCCGGTGCTCTGATTTCCCTTCTCCCGACCATACCTACTACTTCGTCCACCCGGGATTTGTCGTCATCGCCACCAGTTTCCCTCCCTTTCGCCTTCTTCTTCCGTACCATCAACTCAGCGTCGTTCCGTGGCCGGCCATAGCCCCCTATTGGCCCAGCACACCCTGTGGGAACTGCCGACGGCGCGGTGACCAAAGAACCCCGGAGTTCCGAAGGCCTAGCCCGCACGCGCGACGGCTAGCGCCAAGTGGCAACTCCCGACAGACGAACTCATTGGAACCCCACCTACCCCGAAGGGACCAACCCCCGAACCGCCGTCCCCAAAACCAATGGCTCGCTCGGTCCTGAGCGAACCACACTTGTAACCCAAAAACGCCCTCTTCGCCAAATTGCACTCGTGCCCCCAAAAGACCCTGTCACAGGAGATCTCAGTTCTAACCCGGGACTCCACTTTCCCCAAAAATACTTGGCACACCCCTTTTCGCACTTCCAGGCCCACATCCCACTCCGATCAGGAAGTCACGCTGGGCGTGAGGTTGGGCGTCACAACGCATGCAGAATTGCCTACTGTAGCAATTAAATTATGACATTTAGGGCCTCCTCCACTTCTCACCAAATGTGCAACGTGAGAATGGATAGTTTGCTTAAACATGGGAAGACACACCGCCATGAGAAAAGATTACACAAAAAGGCAATTATTCATGAAGAAGATAACATGAGCTTTACTATGATCATGGCGTCGTCATCTCCTTCCCAGCATGCCATGGCATTTACCGCCAGAATAACTCAACCCTTCCACTTATCATGCCACTCAGATTGAGGCCACACTGTTCCCTACTCATCCTAGATATACTAATTTGGCGCTCGCTAGATATGCTTACGCAAGTACGTACCAGCCCTCACTCTAGAGGCGCGAAAAATTGCTCGGGATCATCCCGCAACTCTAGATCTAAAGAACATGAAATTGAAAATTATGAAAATTATGGTCCACGCCTGTATATTCCCCTGGAAGGGGCTACATACAGGTGCGGACCCATTTATCACCCGGCGTTCGCCAGCGAAAGGCCGGCCAAGTCCAGGATGTTGGGGCCTCCCTTAGGCCGAAAAAACAAGCAAGTTCATTTTGCGAAACTCTAGATCTAAAGAATGTAGAATTGAAAATTATGAAAATTTATGGTCCACTCCTGTATATTCCCCTGGAAGGGGTTACATACAGATGCGGACCCATTTATCACCTAGCGTTTGCCAGCGAAAGGCCGACCAAGTCTAAAACGTTGGGGCCTCCCTTAGGCCGAAAAAGCAAGCAAATTCATTTTGCGAAAAACCTATAGTTTTTTCCTTTCCAAATGAGGGTAACAGCAGAAGTCCCTTGAGGCCATGTTACATTCAGACGGTGGTACGCTGTTTCAAAGGACAAAAGTCGGATCCGGCAAGGATAGCCCTGGGCAAGCGGACCCCAACTTTGTTTGCTTAGCGGCGAGTATCCACATACAGTAACTCAATCAGATCCTGCAGCTTGTTCCACAGGGGTCTTTGTTCCCGCCTGTTCATCCATTTCAGGCCAGCAATGACGACTTTGGTCGGATATCTCGACTTCTTCAGTTCTTTTGCAAGAGAGAGGATGGCACTGCAGATCGAGCCATCACTGTTACAGTTCATGGAAATACGTAAGACTGCGTTAGCGATGGTAGCGAATTTTGTGGTCTTTGGACCAAACGAATCAAAATCTTTATACGTCCGCAGTCTTAGATCACATGGGGACCATATAGTCCCAGCATTCTTGAACTTATGTGAGAGCACTACTCCAGGCGACGCATTGGTTACCACAATACGTGTTTCCAGAAAGTCGAGAATCACATTCTTTGTGTCGGTGCGTTCTAATTTCAGCCCTTGGGGGTAGCAGTCGAGGATTAAATCCAACATCGCCTCAACTCTTTCCAAGCCTTTGCGGTCGTTAGCATCACATAACGCAAGGAGCAACAGATCGTCGATGTAACGTTTGCCTCTTATGAATCTGGCGTCGGCACCCAGGCTCTTAATGAACTTGTATTCGGCACACATACACATAACACAAGCAAGCGGTGGGCTTGCCGGACCCCCCATAGGAATCCCATTTTTTTGACGTAATACACAGTCAGCAATGAGAAAGAAAGTGTTATCAAGCTGGAAGCTTGTTAATTTGCCCAGCAGGTTTAACATTATCGATTTTCATCCTGCTTTGCCGTGTGATTTCCCAAAGGTTACGAGTTTCTTCTGTATATTAAATCTCAGCCATTTCACATTCTTCACAGAGAAGAGGCCTATAATCCATTCTACGGCGCACCGGATATCGGCGTGAGGCAACTGTGTGAACATTTCCTTAATGTCATATGTGCGAGCAATGACTTTAAGGTTCACATTCCTGCGGCATGTCTCATTCACTGTGTCAATTTCTTTCTTAATGCCACACAATGATCTTATATTAAAATGGGGAACATGAACACATCGCACCAGTTCGTTCAACCCAAGGGACAACACACCATCGGCGGTTCGAAAGGGGCTCTGAAAAGAAGGGACAATGCGTCTCCTTTTTTCTTTGTCCTTTTCCTTTGCCATGATATAGGCATGCTGTAAAACACCCCGCGGGTCCCATTTTGTTGCGTTTGAGAGACTAGACTCATGGTATTTTTCCCGCATGTTGCATAGCACATTGCATTTGCTGGTATCAACCACCTCGTAGTTCTAATTCTGCAAAAACATTTCAGTCCTTTGCCATACCGCCCAGGACATTCAATCCGAGTTTCACATGGGTTGCGATCCAAAGGAGACATAACCAGGCCCGATAAAGCCTGTTTTACGCCTATTACATACTCCACTAGGACACACCCAGGTGGTTTCGACAGACCGGGTTTACAGGCAGTAGCACCGTCAATTCTGAATGGGCGGATAACAATACCCATCTTGCATAAGCCACTCAAGGCTTCATTACATGCTTTGTTCACGCCATCCTTCACGACAATCTTCCAAGGAAAAAAAATGTTCTTTGAATTGGAAAGAAAAGGGTTAATGCCATCAATTTCACTTAGCTTGACTGCAACATGTCCGTCTCTACGGGGCAGGTCAAGGTCCGCACAAATGCATTCAAGATTGTTTTTTTGTGCAAAAGACCTTTGGTTATGCAGGAAGTCCCCGACCGATTTAGCTTTGAGCAACACGAACATACAAGTAAGCAAGTGACGTAGGTAGCACTTCACTCCTGATCCAATTCTTCAGTTGCGCAAGCACACATGCTTTGTCAATGGTCGTACAATACGGGATTTTCACAGTTATGTTAACACGAGGATTGATGCCGAATTTCTTTTTGAAAACGTTCGTCAGTATACCGCGAATAATCTGCCAACCGCGTTCTTGGTTAATAAATTTCACCGCATTGTTGAGCTCAATGAGTTCATTCAAGTCACATTTGTACAAATCCCGCCTTTTCCACGGGGCACGAAGCAGGGCAATCAGCTCACCTTTTCTAAGTTCGAATTTGGTACGTGTGCGGCACAGTTCAATGATCAACCATTCACCCTCTTGTTCGATGAGATCTTTGGCATCCTTTAGTAGTAAATTGTCACCATATATCAATATTTTGGAAAAAACAAACAGCAACAAAACAAGACGCCAAACTTTAAGCCATCTCCCCCCTGCATTGTTACTTTTCTCAAGTGATTTCAGAATCCAAAGTAAATCTGGTTCACTGTGCACGTTAATCTCAGAGCATGTAAACAAAAGAGGTTCTTTGATTGCCACATGACACAACCCTGTCTTCATTCTATTTCGCTGTTTCCCACGCGGTTTCCTCCTTCGATTCTGTTTATTTCTCCCCCGCGCATTCAGACCAGGGTTACAACTCTTAATAACGGTCTGCTTTAAGGTCTCAATTGCGGGAGCATCCTCAAACCAGATTGGAATGGGGACGTAATGATCATCCTCTACTTTTCTGAGCCACGAGTGGATTCGCTGTTTGCTATCCCCTCGGGCTGACCGACGATGTTCAGCCCAACGCTCTTTAAGGGGGCGAACAGTCTCTCCAACATACCCCAGTTTGTGGGTTAAAGACATTAAAACATAGACACAACAGTTAGCATTAAGTAGCTGATCCCAATCAGCGCGGGACATCCGGGACCAAAATGCAACGTAGGCCTTGCCCCAAGCTATAACTTCCAACAGACAAGCAAGGACAATAATTAGTAGATGAATGCGGTCTAAGATTGGTCGAAAAGACTCTTGATGCTTCAACCTCGTGATCCTCCTGGTCATCCGGAGTAGCGACCTCAGACTGCAGACAGTCAGTTTCCCTTTACATTGTCGGAATCAGACTCAGATGACTCATCAGCCGCGGTGTCATGTCCATTCTTTGACGACGGCTCGCCTTTTCATTCCTTGAGTAGATCTGCATATTATTCTTGCAGATCGTGCTTGGCCAATTCCCACACCCCCATATCTTTGCGGAAGTATTGAATTCCCTTCTCCTTGCAAAGCTCTTGCACTCTAGTGTAGTGCAACGAGCTGTAGTATTCCCCTCGAACTTTCATGTAAGCAGCAAGACCGCCTTCGTCTTCTTCCTCTTCTTCGGCGAGCGAGGAGTTCTGAGCAAGGTTGACGTCTTCGTTCGCCACGGCCTCCGTTTCCCGGGGGGTTGGCTTGACGACGTTGGCCTTACTCTTGGCATCACCAATCCCTTGCATCAGCGAGACCAACATCTGCTTAATATCAGCCAATTCGCTGTTGTTCTCCATTTTCGAGTGGAGATTCTGCTTCACATTACCAGCGGCCTCATCGTCGGATGAAATCTCGATCCTTTTCGGTCGAGTCTTCGAGCTCCCACGCGACCGGGGTTTCGCATGCGCAGCTGACAGTGAGTTCTCCACCGGGGTGCGCGCCCCCGCTCTCTTCCTCTTCTCGCTACTAAACGCATCTTTCCGGTCTTTACCCCCTTCTTTGTTCCCTTCTGCCACACACTCAGCAACCTTGGCTTTCCGCAGCATCTCCAGTTCTTCTTTCTCGGTAACGGTAATGTTGGTCTTCTTGTCAATTTCCTCCAACTTCGCCATTATCAACCTAAGAGACTCACCGAGGGTTGAAGAAACCCAGACCTTCATCTCGTCGGTCTTATCGGTCGTTCTGGACCCCGACCGACTAGATTCTTCCAGGATCTCCGCCATCTTCAGGCCGCGCTGTCGTGGAGCCGCAATCTTGTTCTTTGCCTCATCCAGAGCTTTATTCATCTTGATATTTTCGAGAATGTCCATATACTCTTTGGTAAAGTATGCACGATTGCCAGATCCAAGGAAAGCATTGGCCGCAGGCCCTTTCCCTCCGCCGACGAGGTTACCCCTGTGCCGAGAATGCCCATGCTGAGCGTTCTGATGCTGTCCGGGCAGGTTAGAACCTTGCGGAGGAGGTGGAGGTGGAGGTGGAGGGGGAGGAGCAGAAACAGTAGTAGTCGCAGGTATAGTAGAAGGGTGGGGAGCGGATTCGACAATCGGCAGCGATGGCGGTTGCACAGCGCCCCATGAGCCAGGCCATTGCCATGGTTGTACACGCCAATGACCAGGTGGAGCGTGATACGCCGGAGCCTGAGGCGACAGCATTGGAGCGTGAGCAGACCCGTAGGGATTCGTCATAGGGACGATTCCCGGTGGGGGTGGATTTCCCTCCAGTGCGGAATTTCCACCAGGAAACGTTGCTCACCCGCCATCGTAACCGTAGCCATTACTCGAGTTAACTTAGAATTCGTGAAAACCTAACCAAAAATATTGTTAGGTTTGCACGAATGTTTTTAAAGATTATGATAGTACATTTTTCAGGCCTCCTACGTGAACAACATTCTATGTGAAGTAAATTATCCGCAAAAAATGAATAGAAAAATACTTTTTCAAAACCATTGGAAGTGGTGAGGAGAGAAGCAAGTCTTTTTACAAAAAAATCTCTACCTTGCAAAGCACCGTTTGTTCAAGAATCAAAATATCATTTTTTTTATTTAAAAAAAATAAATTTATAGTGCTATACGGTATGAAGCACGATGAAACTATTCGGGGGTTTTCCAAACACGCACATATACTCTCATATTCACGAATACATTCTTTTGGATTTGTTTCCTCATACATGGACGAATATATTATTTTTTAGTATTTTTTAATGAAATAGTTTTTTATTTTTTAATTTTAAATCGTGGTTGGCTAAGAATTTGAAGATGTCCCCGAGGCAAAAGTTGTTTGAATTCTTCTTTTACATAACATATATTTTTTGAAAAGGATTTTACAGTAAACTTAAAAATAAATTATATTAATTTATAGTTCTATAAACTAGTTTTCGCCGAACTTGGTTTTTATCAAACTGTTGAAAACGACTTATAATTCTATAAACGAGTATTCACTGAAACTGTTTTTTTTAACGTCTTTCGAGTTCGTCTTGCAGTCCTTAGAGATTGTCTTGTTTGAGCTATGTTTTTTTTCGATCTACTGAAAACGACTTATAGTCTTATAACATGTTTTTTTATTGGAAAGAATTTTCTTGCACATTTTGAGAATCACTAGACTTTTTGCCAAATTTTTTTCCTCCTTTCTTGGGAAATAATTAAAAACGCTCACTTTTATGTGTCAAAAATAAGAGTTTGACTTTCACTTTTTCATTCTATAAAAAATGTTATGTTTTGTGGTTTTGTTCGGTTCTCACGAATTTAGTGTTAGTTACCCTCCATCCAGTAGCGTCCGTCGTTCGACCACATCCCTCGTCCTACGCCAACTTTATTCTTCCTCCCTTTTCTGTACATAAGGCCTAAGAACACAAGTGAAACGAAACTGCACCCGACCCCAAATCCGGCGAGAAGCTCACCGTAACAGCAACGTTCCTCTGTGGTGATCGCAGCGAGCGAGGTGGATCTCATATATGAAGGATGCTCGGATAACAGCCAAACGCGCACCCACCGTCTTTCAAATCCGGCGGCATAGTACACCCAACTATCACATCTCCTCAGAAAGAAAGAGGAAACAAAGATTATCACAATATCGGGGATAATTGGGAAACCAACTACCACGCGATCGTCACTCGAAGTACGAAATCCAAGCTCGGTGAAATTGAGCAAAATTGACAGCGATACTAAATATCGCGAGATAGTCAGGCACACGCCAATACAAAAGGTAAAGGATAAAGAGGTAAGAGATAAAGATAACAGTTAACAAATGGCAATTTCCACCGGTAAGCACGAATTCACTTGCGTGAAGACGATATCTTAGTCTCAGTACCAAGCCACGGCAGGGTCGAAACTAAGGCTCATGTCCATGAGAAAAGATTACACAAAACGACAATTATTCATGAAGAAGATAACATGAGTTTTACTATCATGGCGTCGTCATCTCCTTCCCAGCATTCCATGACGTCCACCGCCAGGATAACTCAACCCTTCCACTCATCACGCCACTCAGATTGAGGCCACACTGTTCCCTACTCATCCTAGATATACTAATCCGGCGCTCGGTAGATATGCTTACGCCAGTACGTACCAGCCCACGCTCTAGAGGCGCGAAAAACTGCTCGGGATCATCCCGCAACTCTAGATCTAAAGAATATGAAATTGAAAATTCTGAAAGTTATGGTCCACGCCTGTTTATTCCCCTGGAAGGGGCTACATACAGGTGCGGACCCATTTATCACTCGGCGTTCGCCAGCTAAAGGCCGACCAAGTCCAAAACGTTGGGGCCTCCCTTAGGCCGAAAAAACAAGCAAGTTCATTTTGTGAAACTCTAGATCTAAAGAATGTAGAATTGAAAATTATGAAAATTTATGGTCCACTGCTATATATTCCCCTGGAAGGGGTTACATACAGATGCGGACCCATTTATCACCCAACGTTTGCCAGCTAAAGGTCGGCCAAGTCCAAAACGCTGGGGTCTCCCTTAGGCCGAAAAAGCAAGCAAGTTCATTTTGCGAAAAACCTACAGTTTATACCTTTCCAAACGAGGGTAACAACAGAAGTCCCTTGAGGCCACGTTACATTCAGACGGCGGTATGCTGTTTTAGAGGACAAAAGTCGGATCCAGCAAGGATAGCCCTGGGCAAGCGGACCCCAAATTTTGTTGCTTAGCGACAAGTATCCACATACAGTAACTCAATCAGATCCTGCAGCTTGTTCCACAAGGGTCTTTGTTCCCGCCTGTTCATCCATTTCAGGCCAGCAATGACGACTTTGGTCGGATATCTCGACTTCTTCAGTTCTTCTGCAAGAGAGAGGATGTTCATGGAAATACGTAAGACTGCGTTGGCGATGGTAGCAAATTTTGTGGTCTTTGGACCAAACGAATCAAAATCTTTATATGTCCGCAGTCTTAGATCACATGGGGACCATATAGTCCCAGCATTCTTGAACTTATGCGAGAGCACTAATGTAGGCGACGCATTGGTTACCACAATACGTGTTTCTTGAAAGTCGAGAATCTCATTCCCAGCGTCGGTGCGTTCTAATTTCAACCCTTGGGGGTAGCAGTCCGGGATTAATCTAACATCGCCTCAACCCTTTCCAAGCCTTTGCAGTCGTTAGCATCACATAACGCAAGGAGCAACAGATCGTCGATGTAACGTTTGCCTCTTATGAATCTGGCGTCGGCACCCAGGCTCTTAATGAACTTGTATTCGGCACACATACACATAACACAAGCAAGCGGTGGGCACACACCGCCATATTTTTTGTCTGTTATGCAGCCGGCGAGTAGAGGAGAGAGGCCCTTAGAAAACGGGGGCTGACCCAACCGCCTTGCTCAACTGGGGCAAGGTCCCACTTGCACTGATTAAGAGATTCTGGGCGTTGATCTTTGCAATCTACGGTCAATGTCGTTTAATTCGTGTAAGTGGGACCTAACCCTTGGTTAGGCAGAGAAGTGACATTCAGGAGGTCGTGGGTTCTAGCACCATGCATGCCTGCAACGCACTTACTGCCAACGTACTTTGATAGTCCGCTTGATACCCCCGACCGTATTAGTAGAGTCTATGGGTCTCACTGCACTATGCTAGACTCATGAAATTTTTCAAGAGGGATGACCTTTCGGGAGGATGGGGGAGAGACACCGGTACGCTAATCCAGCGCTAATTCTGCGTTAGCAGGCTAGCGCTAGGGTTTGCGGGGATCGGCCGAAGCGATACTAGGACCCAGGCGCCAACGTGGTAACGCATATAGCATTGTCGAGCGCATCGGTCCCGCACGAGGACCCTCTCGACCGCGTCACGCAGGATTTTGCAGGACTTGTCGCGGAGAGCGTTTGCCGCTCCGACCGAGTGCGCCAGCCGTACCTCTCGTGAGCCCCTACGACAGGACAGGGTCACGTGAGGCGCCGCTTACCTCCACCTGCGGGAGTTGTCACCATCCCTTAGGTGGGCGTATCCCCGCCGAGCTACTGAACCACATGCGAAGGCTTTTCGTATGCAATTGCAGAAATGGCCCAACCGAGGGTGTTTCTCGTTTGCTGTAGCATAGGGCTTACGCGCGGTTGAACGCCCAAAAATCGAACCCGCACGCGAATCGACACACTGGGGGGCTGAGGTCCCAAAGGCGACTCGACACCGGTCGACTAGGACGCATCACACACATCACGCGTTGCACTACAACACTCACATCTACTCACACACAACACATGGAAACACACAAAACAAACACCACAAACAATATTCCTAGTCCCTTCTGTATCTGGCCCATAACTTTATGTGGCGAGAGTCAGTTAGGTATCGCGCGCTGGACTTTCGTATAAGAGTCGTGCGAGCACGTGACCTCCTTATATCGATCAGCCATGCGGGCATACGCAAGCATTCGCGTTGATGGGGTACTACGTAGTACTCGCAACCGCGTAGCCCTTGATAATACCATCTTCAACACCCTGAGGTGTCCCAAAGGGTGCGGGGCAAGATGGTCCCTAGGGCAGGAAGGGATTCAGAGCGGTGGTGAGTTGTCTGGCGCATCACCATCGCCACGCTAATCCTTCCGCCCGGAACTTTATCATTCCACCAAAATAATTTAAAACAAGGAAAAAGAAAATGAGTACTTGACGTTGGCGAAGAAAACATGAACACCCCGCCGGACCGAGTTGCTGGGGGACAACCCCTCTCCCTCACGGCGCTTTGGTTTCCCCGGAACAGCGTCATGCACAAGTAACCCAGCCCTAGCGCGAGGGGTAACCCCTTCTGCGCTGAGCCTGGAACCTGGGACGTCCTGGACGAGGACGTCGAATTCCAGGCTCGGGACTAACGTCCGACCAAATAAAATCATTGAGTAAAGAAAGACGTAGGCGTGCGGTCGCAAAGCCCTATGAGGGTCACCCGAGCGCACGCCTACTTTGACTATCATATTATCAGGATGGGAAAAGAACAATCTCACTCAAACAAAGAGTTGTGGGGTAGTTCACTTTCACGACAGTGGTGTGGTTTGCCCATTTGAATCCAAACATAATCACTCAACAAGATTCAATCGAGATTCTCTCATACATATCTGCAATCATACGCACAACATTCAAACAACATCACATACAGTAGAGGGGTTAACTTTCCAACCTTCTGCAGCTCACACCCTGCCTTATGCACGCAAGCCCAACCATTTCCCCACCACTCCTCAACAAACATACTCAGTCTTTAAGAAATTGCCATTTATAAATAATCAAGGTGAAAACCCAAGAAAACATAAAACCCAGCAAGGGCCAAGGCCTTAGGTTGAGGA